CACACTTTGATGATCAGAGCTACCCTGGCCACTCACCATTCTATTACTCTACCAGGGCATCAGTTCCCTTCTGTGGGCCCCAACTGGTGTGGGCTGAGGACTCATCCCACTGACCCCACCCCTCTTGGTACTGCCCACAGTGATCCTGGTGCACGCCTCCCTGCGCCTGCGCAACCTTAAAAACAAGATTGAGAACAAGATCGAGAGCATTGGTCTCAAGCGGACGCCAATGGGGCTCATCCTAGAGGCACTGGGACAAGAGCAGGAGGCCGGATCCTAAGGGCCTGGGATCTGTGCCCCAACGTGGAGAATATTAACTCCCAACCCCACCTGAGACCTTCAGCCCTTTCCCAGCCCTCAAACTAGTAATCTGGAGTCCCTTGCCCTGCCCCCGCCCCCCCAAAAAAGAACAAGACATCTATATCAGCCCTGCCTTGGTCTCAAACTAGGCTCTCTCTCTCTCTCACACACACACCCATTACCCAGGAACCACAGTCTTCCCTAGCCCTAAACTTGGGAACCAAAGCCACCAACATCTAGCCCCAAATCTGGGGCTTAAGACCACAACATCCATGGCCAACATCAAACTGTGGACCCAGAGACACTCCTAACCCCAATGTGGGATTGGCCCATCTCCCATGCTGAGCCCCAAAGCTGGGGTCTGGGGTAAGGTATTGTGACATCTTGAACCAAAGCCCCATGCTCAGCCCATCGCTGGGGTGGAGTCAAACAACCTGACCCTGTTTGAACCTTTGGTCCCAGGTGACCCCAACCAGTCCCCTTACCACCCGCTCCCTCCCATGTTCCACAGTGGCCAGGACCAAGGAGTTGAGTGGAGGTGGGGCATATATATCAGTATTACCGCAACAATAAAACCTGTTGCATCTTCCAAGCCAATCTGGGCCTCCTGGGTAAAGTCCTTATTTATGTCAATGAGGAAGTGGCCTAGAGACTTCCTGGCTGGCTGTCAACTATGTGGGCTGAATGGGTGATCTCTGAGGCCCTTCCTCAATCCTGTTACCTCCGGATCAGTGTGAAAGCCTAAGGAAGAAGTTAGGGGCACTGTTTACTATCATCATTTGCATTATTAAGAGTTCTTGTTTGAGGTTGGCTGTGAATCTGAGCAGAGGCAAAGGAGTTACCCCATGTCACCTGGCAAGCCACAAGCAGATGGCTTAGGCTACTTCCATGGTATTATTTTTCTTCCTGTAAAAATATGAGGGGAGGCTGGGCATTGAGCACGCTCTGTTAAGCTGCCCCTTGAGAAACCTGCATCCCATACTGGTTCCAGTCAGCTGCTCTGCTTCTGAACAAGCTCCCTGCTAATGTGCCTGGGAGGCAGCAGGTGATGGCTCAAGTGCTTGGGCCCCAGCCACCCATGTGGGAGACCCAGATGGAGCTCCTAACTACAGGCTTTGGGCCTGGCCCCGCCCTGGCTGTTGTGGGTCTCTGGGGAGTGAACCAGCAGATGGAAGATTCCTCTGTCTCTCCTTCTCTATCACTCTGCCTTTCAAGTAAAATAAACCTCTTTTAAAATTATGAAGTCTTCAAAAGCTTAATGGAAAGTGACTATCTTTTAATTCCATTTTCCATGAACTTTTTGAAGTACCCTAATATATTTTCCAGTCTTTTATAAAATTTATTTGAAAGGCACAGTAAGAGAGAAAGAGAGAAGTCTTCCATCTGCTAGTTCACTCCCCAAGTGGCTGCAATGGCCAGGCTTGGGCCAGACTGAGCCAGGAGCCAGGAGGGCCAGGAACTGCAGGTCTCCCCCATGGGTGCAGGGGCCCAAGCACTTTGGCCATCTTCCACTACTTTCCCAGGTGCATTAGCAGGGAGCTGGATCAAAAGTGGAGCAGCCAGGCCAGCACCAAGGCTCACTTGGCTAATCCTCTTCCTGCAGCGCCGGCACCCCGGGTTCTAGTCCCGGTTGGGGCGCCGGATTCTATCCCAGTTGCTCCTTTTCCAGTCCAGCTCTCTGCTGTGGCCCAGGATGACAGTGGAGGATGGCCCAAGTGCTTGGGCCCTGCACCCACATGGAAGACCAGGAGGAAGCACCTGGCTCCTGGCTTCGGATCGGCACAGCGCACCAGCCAGTAGCAGCCATTTGGGGGGTGAACCAACGGAAGGAAGACCTTTCTCTGTCTCTCTAACTCTGCCTGTCAAAAAAAAAAAAAAAAAAGAAGAAGAAGAAGAAGAAGAAGTGGAGCATCCAGGACTTGAACCGGTGCCTGTATGGGATGCCAGCACTGCAGTCAGGGGCTTTACCTGCCACGCCACCATGCTGGCCCCTATTTTCCAGGCTTAATTAAAGGTGTGGCCTACAAAACAAGGCAGAGGAGGAGCACATGGATTCGGTTTACACATTTATTGTAGAAATCCCCTTCCAGTGTGGGTAGTGTCTTGGGCCCAGATCCATTTGTACAAAAAGAAAAGTTTTAATACCAGGTAAAGGGGGGAGGGGAACCCCCAACTCCAGTTAATCACAGACAGGTATCATAGAAAACACAGCTTGTGTGATTTGTTTAAAAAGTGAGTGGAAGGAAAGCCAAGAAAGATGTGACGTGGCCTGTGGCCCATAGCCAGACGTCACCTGAGGATTTTACTGGCATCTTCCGACGCCAGGTTCAACCACAGCAGCATCCCAGGACACAACACCCCCGAGGGCTCTGCCCCTTGCTCCTCCTTTGGGGCCTCCTGATTGGAATGGTCAGGGCAGAGGCCCAGGGCACAGGCAGGGATGCAGCCTCCTTCAGGGACCACACCCAGAGACTTCAATCCTTCCAAGTGTAGGCAGAGCCCAACTCCCCCAAAACTGCCCTGGTGGGGAGTGGCAGGGAGTTCTGTGCACACCAGAATCTCCTGGCTGCCCCAAACAGGGGCTTGAGACCCTACATGGTCCATTTGGTGGAGGGGGTTCCTGAATGGAACAGGCTGGGCATGGGGACAGGAATGAACCCAACCAGGACAAGATCACAGTTTCCCTTTTATAAAATGCCTAGTGCAGGGTGGGGGGCAAGGGGAAGACAGTGAATACCTAAATCACAACTGTAAACAGAAATGGAGGAGGGGGCGTGGAATCCCCACGACATCACTCCCATCTCCTTTAAGCTGGCTAGGGTCCCCCAGTCCCCAGCACAGTGTGAGAGGAGAACCAGGGTGTCAGACACCTTCCTGGGCCCACGCGGAGCCAGGGAGGGGCATTGGAAGACCAGCTGGGTGCCCTCCCCGCCCCCCACCCCACCCTGCCCAAGACTGAGAGCAGCCACATCTCAGGGCTCAGCGAGGTCAGCTGTGTGCTCCCCAGACTGGAGTCATGCCCAGGCCAACGTGAGATGTATCAGAAGGGGTCAGACCAGCGTCCCCGGGGTCTGGGGGTCAGAACTGGAGGACTGCTCCCCCTCTAGCGTCAGGTCACTTAAACGAGCGCTCAGCTCCGGGGGGTACAGGAAGTCCGCGTAGTATCTTTGGAAGGGGTAGCAGGAATCCGGAAGACAGGTAGAGAAGAGAGGAAAAGACAGACAAGACACAGAAAGAGAGAGGAAGAGGTTCGTTAAAGAGGTGGAGGCAGGCACAGGACAGTACCTCCAGGCTCCCAAGCACGGGGCACAGAGAAGACGAAGAAAAAGATGAAGGCACGGGATGCCCCTTCCTCTCAGCACCCTGGCTTCAAGGCTTATCTTCACCTGACCAGACTAGCGAAAACCTACTCTTCTACAGCTCGCGGAAGACCTGCTGCTACCAAAGCCCAAGCTCTGCCTCCACCAGGACCCCAAGTACTAATGCAGGTTGTGCCCGGTACGGTGCCCCTGTGCCAAGGCTGCCGCTAGTTTCCCTGTGGTCTAAGTCATTAGCTCTCATGCCTGGCTGCTCCCTGGCCTGGGTAACCTTACCATCCGCCTCAAGAGACCCCGAACCCGTCAGTAAAAGCACCCTCCATACCTGCCAGAGACAGGGGGCGCCGTGAAACTCCTCGAGTGTGGGAGAGGTGGCTGGCTGGGAGCCCCGTACAGCGCCTGGCCCACCTCATAGCATCGGGCGTGGAGGAAGGACGGGTGTGGTGGGCCCATGTGGGGGGGCACAGGCCGGCGCTGGGGCCCCGCAGCCAATCCCGAGTTCCGGATGTACCAGTCCCGCAGCCCCTCCAGGGCGAGATTCTTGTGGCCACTGCGCTCGCCGGCAGGTGGGATACGGGTGGGTGGGGGCATCCACAGCAGAGGGTTGGGATGGACCTCCGGACCCTCAGCAGCCTCTGGGGCCAGGCCACAGGGCTTGGTGCGGGTAGCACGGGTGTGGGGGTCCTTGCTGCGGAGGAGGGGGCTGCTGCCGTCAGCTGCATACACAGGTGGTGGGCCGGGCAGCATGGCCAGGAGCCCATCCCGACGGGAGAGGGGTCCTGGGACCTCAGCTGCAGGCAGCAGCTCCCCCCAGCCTGCTCCGCCGCCACCGCGGGGCAGGCCCCGGTCGGGGGAATAGTCCAAGAGGAAGTCCCCGCACACAGGTGGGAGCCGGGGGACCCCGCGGGAGGCAGGGGCAGCTGAGCTCGGCCGGGCGGCCCGGGGAGGGTCTGGGGGGCCGGCTGTGCGGGAGGAGAAGGCAGGGGTTGGTTGGGGGCGCTCATACAGCACCTCACTGCTCTTGCAGACTGGGGGACCAGCAGCAGGGGGAGCCAGAGGAGCCGGTGGGGAGCCGGCTCCCCCTCCAGCCGCCCGGTCCACCAGCAGGGCCTCAGAGCTGTTGCTGCGGCGAGTGCGAGCTGCGAAGAGGGAGGCACGATCGGAGGCAGGGTCTGCCCGGGGGAAGCCCATCTGGGAGTCCTGGCTGCCGGACCACTGGCGAGAATGGAGGCCTTCGGGTCTGAGGTGCAGAGGCGGGGGTGTAATGGAAGTAGGGTCAGAAAAATCAGGCAGATGGCCCACGCCCTGCCTATCTCAGCCCTGAGTCTCTGCCTTCCCATCTCCAAAATGGGCCCCAGGGTTACAAGCTGTGGAGTGGCACCAAAAGGCAGCTGGGGTTTCTTCCCAGGCTGGAGGGCTCAGGGGGTCCTGGGGCAACGAAGTATAGAGCTAGAGATGAAGCCAGCACAAAGCATTCACCTGGTTCCTCGGGCCCTCGGGCTGAGAATTTAAGTCCCTGCCGGAAGTCCCTGTCCCACCCAAACCACCCACTAGCAGTCATTCACAGAATGCAAAGCCCACAAGCACAGCCTAGGGCAAGTGGGCACTCCCTAAGTACTTGTTTCAGCAGCTAACCAGCAGAGGACTCTTGACTGCACTGAAATCCCAGGACTTCTGTTTGCTAGCAAGTTACCCGACCTTTCTGTGCTGCAGTTTCCTGTCTACCACATGGGAATAATGATAGCACCCCCAGCCCCCACCTCGTGGGGATCTTGGGATGATTCGGTGAGCAGACAGCATGTAACATGCCCAGTTACTAGCAGGTGTCGGATAAGGAACTTACTACTCCCAGGCCTTTGAAAGGCACATACTATTATGCCCGCTTCACAAAGGAGGAGGGAAATGACTTGTCCACCATGCACAGACTCTGGTGCTTCTGCCCCCAATCCCCATCCTGTTTTCCATCAAGACAACTGCTTTTCACCTTTCAAACTCCAGCCTCCTGTGCCCTACGCCTTTTGAGAAGTCCCTCCCCAGTGCCTCCGGTTAGAAGTAACGGTGCCCTCCAATGATCCTCAAATCCCCCCCTCAGAGCCTTCTTACTTGCAGAGCTGGGGGCCAGAGCCCCGGGTGAGCACAGGAGTGGCAGGCACACTTCGCCCCTCAAAGCTGGAGGCGCTCCTGGGCAGCGAGCGTGTAGGGCTAGACAGAGACGGGCAGGCCCAGGCCAGGGCCCTGGTTAGAGACTGGACACCCAGCAGGATCTCCTGCGGGCGGAGG